GAACCCACAGCTCACATCAGACTTAATGGTAAAAGACTGAAAACTTTTCCCTTAAGATCAGGAACGAGATAAAAATGTCTGTTCTTGTCATTTCTATTCAACCTTGTATGGAGGTTCTTCTAAGTAGGTCATTAGATAATAAAAAGAAATAAAAAATATCCACATTGGTAAAGAATAAGTAAAGCTATTTCCATTTGCAGATGGCATGATCTTATATATTTAAAACTTCAAGGAATCCACCAAAAATTATTAGTAAACAAGTTTAGAATGTTTGGGATACAAGGCCATTATATGTAAATCAGTTGTAGTTCTTCTTTTTTTTTTAATTTATTTATTTGAGAGAGAGTGTGCACACATGAATGGGGGAGGGGCATAGTGAGAAAATTTTCAAGCCAACTCCCCACTGAGCATGGAGCCCAACTCAGGGCTTGATCTCACAACCTATTAGATCATGACCTGAGCTGGAACCAAGAATCAGATGACTGATTTAACTGACTGAGCCATAAAGGCGCCCCCGAGTCAGTTGTATTTCTATATACTTGCAGTGAACAGTACTAAAGTAAACTAATAAAACATTCATTTATAATAGCATTAAAAAGAATAAAATACTTAAGACTAAATTTACCAAAAAGAAATGCAAGACATACACCCCAAACTATAAAACATCATTGAAAGAAATTAAAGAAGACTTAACTAAATGGAAAGACTTGTAGTGTAAGGATTGGAAGTCTTAATGTTGTTCTGATGGCAGTAACTCTATAGATTTGATGTAATCCCTCTCAGAATTCCAGCTGCCTTTTTTTTTTGCAGAGATGGATAAGTTGATCCTAAAACTCACACAGAAATGCAAAGGACCGAGGTCAGCCAAATCATTTCTAAAAATGAAGGACAAAATTGGAGGACTCACACTTCCTGATTTCAAAACCTCCTACAAAGCAACAGTAATAAAGACAGTGAGGTATTGGTACGAGAATGGACAAATAGATCACTGAAGAGAATTGAGATTCCTCATTTCTAGTCCATTGACTTTGAACAAGTGTATGAAAGCCATTCAGTGGGGATAGAATAATGTCAACAAATGGTGTTTGGAATACTAATATCCATGTACAGAAGAATAAAAGTTAGGCCCCTGCTTCACACCATTTATAAAAATTAACTCAAGTGCATCAAAAACCTAAACTTAAGAGCTAAAACTATAAAACTGTTAGAAGAAAATAAGGCATAAATCTCATAATGAATCAGGAAGTCATTTCTCAGACATCAAAAGCATAAGACAAAGAAAAACAGGTAAATTGGACTTAAAAGCCTTAATTCAAGGGAAGCTATCAAAAAAGTGAAAAGACAACTCACAGAATGAGAGAAAATATTGGCAAATCATTTATCTGATAAAGAACCAGTATCCAAAGAACTCATAAGTCTCAACAATAGAAAGGAAAAAAACAAAAACAATTTAAAAATGACAAAGAGTCCAAATAGATATTTCTCCAAAGATATAAGAGTGGCTAACAAGCACATAAGGTCACATAAGCACATCATTCATCATTAGGAAAATGCAAATAAAAACCACAATGAGATACCACTTCACACGCAGTAGAATAGTTATAAAGAAAAAATAGACAAAACAAGTGTTGGTGGGGATGTAGAGATTGGAACCTTTATATGCTGCTGATGGGAATTGAAAATGATTCAGCTGCTATAGAATAGAGTTTGGCGGTTCCTCAAAAAGTTGAACATAGAATTTACCATGTGACCTAGCAATTCCGCTCCTGGTTCTATAGATAGACATGACCACACTAAATTTGTTTGCAGATATACTTAACAGCATTATTTATAATAGCTAAGAAATGGAAACAACCTACATGTTCATTAGCTGATGAATAAACAAGATGTGGTATGTTGATATAATGGAATAGTACTCATTCTTAAAGAGATGAGGTACTGGTAATTGCTCTAACAGGGATGAACCTTGAACATGTGATGCTAAGTGAAAGAAGCCAGACACATTTGATTCCATTGATATGAAATTCCAAAATAGGCAAATCCATAGAGTCAGAGTATATTTGTTATTGTCATGGGCTGGGAAAGTGGAGAATGACTATTAATGGATATAAGATTTCCTTGGGGGATGATGAAAATGTTCTGGAATTAGTGGTAATGGTTAATAGGTTTATGAGTATACTAAAAACCACTGGATTATGTACTTTAAAAGGGTGAATTTTATAGTATATAAATTATATCACAATTAAAATATATTTGAAATCTAACTGTAGGGTTATATTATTAATATGCTTTTTGTTTTGACGATTTTGGTGATCTGTAGTAATTCTGGGAGTCTTCAAACTTTGAATAGGCTTTTCTAAATTATTCTATCTGGAATGTAGTTAGAGTTATTAATATACGTGAGAGGGCATTTCTTCTCTGATTTATTTAGGCCATTAAAAGCCTGCTTTGTAAATATATTTTTATTGTTGTTGTGTATTTTTTATCTCATTTTAATGCCAGTATAGTTAACATACAGTGTTATGTAAGTTTCAGGTGTACAACTAGTGATTCAACAATTCTGTGTATTACTCAGTGCTCATTAAGATAAGTGTATTCTTTTTTTTGTAATTTTATTATGTTAATCACCATACATTACATCATTAGTTTTTGATGTAGTGTTCCATGATTCATTGTTTGCGTATAACACCTAGTGCTCCATGCAGTACGTGCCCTCTTTAATACCCATCACCAGGCTAACCCATCCCCCCACCCCCCTCCCCTCTAAAACCCTCAGTTTATTTCTGAGTCCATAGT